CTACATTGTGGCTGCTTCATCCTTGGGCTTACCATGGTTTACCACATTCAGCATGGCTTTCCAAGCATTTCTGGCCAGGACTCATCCCAGTGTCAGAGCATGTTGGCTGTCAGCTGTTTGTTCTGCCAGGGATACCTTCTGTTTGTTGGTGGAAAACTCTTCATGGCATATATTACTATTAGTATATATTAGTATATAATATATTTATATGTAATATATCATAATACATACATATATATAATATAGTATATTGTGACTACCTGACAAATCCGAGAAAAAGCACATCCAAAATCATGGCTACAATCCATGAAGAACACATGTCTTTTTGACGAGCAAAAACTGAGTGCGCAACACGTTTCATCCATGTTTCTTTGTTGTGGGACCACCACCAAGGACATGTTGCATGTAGAATCCCAATCATTGGTACCCTCTGGTTATTAAACATAGCGAACTGGAAGCCATGGCCCATAGAAACAAATGATTTTCCCAGCTATAAACCTCCATTTGGGTCATTTAGGGTTGGGATTTTCCATAGCTATGTTAAATGACCAAATGGTACAATGTGGTGCCCCCCAGTTATAAGTTGGTTTAGATTCGCCCCAGTAACTATAGTTACAAGTACCATAAACCATATAGTTATTGGAGTTATAAACCAACTTAGCTAACGAACTGGGGCACCACCTTGTAGGTTTTGCACCAAACAAAACCATGTCATATTCCCTGCTACTTCCTGAACGCAAGAAATGGACAGTTGACCATCCCTAGGGTCAATCCGCTGCTGCATTGCTTGGATTGGTTACCCTCTGGTCATTTGTTACAGTTTGCGACATAGAAAATGGCCCAGTCGAAATAGTGGATTTACCATGATTTACCCAGCTATAAAATGGTGATTTTCCATAGCTATGTGGCTGTTTACCAGAGGGTAGATATCTCAATTGCTACGAAGCTTCATACCCGATGTCCTAGAGAACCAGAATTTTGTCTGGAAGTCTCTTCTTCTTTCAATGTCCTTGTGTGATAAACATAAAGTGGCCGCTTTGCTAGACCATGCATCATGATCACATATTAAATATTAGATTAATTACCCAGAATAGTTGTGCAAAATGTAGGAGGACCCCTTGATTGTTGAGGGTTATACTGTTATACTCTTATAATCTCTTATACCACCCAATATATCATGATGAGTTAATAATCCATTTCCGGAATCCTCATAAAAAAAGCACACAGCAACTAACATTAATTTGGGATTTTCCAACAGGTTTTCGACAATCATGAAGTCTTTTCTCAGCCAACATGCGAGAAACAGAATGTTGAAACAGCGACATTGACTCGGGCATGCACAGCGACTTGATCACAGAACCAATGACAAAAAATCATTAAACATCCTCACTCGGGGTTTGCTGAAAATGGGTCCCGAATCCCCAAATCAAACATGGTTTATGTTTAGGGATGAAACCAGATTGACGACCATCATGACCATCCATTCTTGGAGAGTCCCTAATTTTCAGAAACACATAGATGTGGGATAACAATACTTTTCGGTAAGAGACATGGCAATGCAAAATCAAAGATTATTTTCACACTAAAACATCGGATTTCCCATTGCCATGTTTGATTCCCTATGGATCTACATTCAGCAGTCCCCCAAGATCCTTATCCACCTCAACTTTTTTGTTGAAACCCACCCACCTGTTATCGTTGGTACACTCCAGTAACGTAACCCTGGACTGGAAAACCTCCCATTTCCAGTCAACTATGCTTTTCTTCAACCTATTCTGATTCAATAGGGACGATGAACCAATGATTCAATGGATTTGATACCTATTTTCAGACACACCCATACGCTTCGAACACAGTATATCCAGTTCCAAGCTGCTTAATTTTTTCTGGTCGTTTCCCTAACTTGAATGATGGGGAGATGGGTCCTATATCTGGTTGGTGGTTGACCTACCCCTCTGAAAAATATGAAAGTCAGTTAGATGCTTATTCCCAATATATGGAAACATAAAAAAATGTTCCAAACCAACAACCAGATATATTGTTAGAGTAATTACGTGTAAGAAAAGAATCAATGATGTAGCAGCACAACTAACCGGAAATCACACCAATTCACACCACATGTGTTGTTTCTCACATCTTAACATTGATCGTGAAGTCACCTGCCGCCCCCAACGATGCCATGCAAATTCTGACCGAGTGGTGTGTCTCATGGGCTGAGGCAAAATCTACAACTAAACCCCTACCAAATGGGGGTTGAACAAGCCCCTAATCAGAGTATGTAGTTTGTGCTTCAGAGCCAACATGAACTTGGCTTGAAGGAAGATGCTACTGCTTTTTAGCTGCTCACTGTCGCGATGAAAGGGTCGGAACCAGAAACAATCCAGGTAGGAGACTCTGAGACACACTCATCACTAGCATCACTAATCTCTGGATGTGCTTGGATGTGCATCAGCGACAACCAGAGCTTGACCTGCGCTGGACTTGTTGTACCGCCCTGCCCCCCCCCGCACCTCAGGATTCTGAGTCTTAAACTCTGTGATTGAAACGTTGGAACAAATCAACGCGAATAACCCCCAAATTGGTCTGGTGATTCTGGTGTATAAAAGCAAACTAATCAAACATCTGGAGGTCATCCGGATAATTGGAGAACAGACCTATCTCACCTGTCATTTGATTTTGTTCTTACCCCTGCAAGACCAGATACGCTATGAATAATGAGTATGAGTCAACCAAAAAATCAATAATTATATTGCTTTTCAACTTGGACAGGTCTGCTTGTTTAACTGTCCTGAGGTGTGCACAAACAAATGGACGCATTGTTCGTAGAGTCTTCAAAACCCTCCCGGAAAGAGACATGAATTGATAGATATAGTTGTTTCCTAAAGTAGGGGTACCCCCCAAATCATCCATTCAAAAAAATATAGATGGGATTTTCCAGTATAAGCTATTGGGGTACCCCCATGACTATGTAAATTTCCCCTATGTGACTTACACTCGGAGGACAGTGCGAAGCCCATGGTGAAACCATCATGACAGGCATGTGACGACTGCGTGACATCCTGACTGCGGAAAAGAGAACATGTTTGAAATGACTACAATGTGGTGCCCCCCAGTGATGTTTGTTGGTTTATAAGGTTTATAAACCCCCATTAACTATAGTTATATCACCATAAACCATAGTTATTGGAGTTATTAACAAACTTAGCTATCTAAGGGGCCCCACTTTGTATGTGATTTGATGACTTCAATAAATAGTACGTATGTCATGTGATAACACAATACACCCATTTGGAATATCTGGTTGGTGGTTTCAACCCCTCTGAAAAATCTGAGTTCGTCAGTTGGGATGATGACATTCCCAATATATTATGGACAGTCATAAAATTCCATGGTTCCAAACCACCAACCAGTTATATAAATGGATATAAATGATACCCTTCCCCATATATGGATACCCTTCCCGATAAATGATACCCAATACACTAATATACAATATATAGATCCTGCAAGGTGGTGCCCCATAGTTATAAGTTGCTTTAGATTCACCCCATGAAAACTAGTTCGTCTTTTTCTACCATAAACCATATAGTTAATTATTGGAGTTATGTGAACCCGAACAAACAGCGTTCACGAACTGGGGCACCACCTTGAAGCATATATGCTTATGGGTCAAAATCTAGGACAATCTTAGATGGATAGAAACTAATCCTTTAGTCTTTTGGTATCAATGGGAATATCTACATATATCTACTAACCATGGCACAAACTCCACCAAAACTGCCCCAAAACCGCCTTCGCCTGGGCCGCCTTCGCCTAGCGACACGTGAGCCCCTGCGGATGGCGAGCAGTGCTGGTTTTTGGTGACTTTTTCTTTCGCAAAAATCCCCCAAGCATGGCCATAGCCTCTGGTTATGACTAACATAGCTACTGAACATGGTGATTTTAATGTGGATCCACTAAAAATAGTGATGTTCAACAGCTATGTAAACGTTTACCAGAGAATAAATATGCTGGATGTTGCCAAAAAAATTGGGGCTAAACGTTAATTTAATCACCTTTTCATGGGGAGATGGGATATATGGGATATGGGAGCCGGATCTCTCAAAGGTGAAGCCAAAAAAGTAACCACCGGGTTGGCCATCTTCAGGGGCTTGGGCATTCCGCGGGTGGCTGAACCCCTCCTGGATATTCTTCCCAGCTTCAAGTTGATGAAAGACTTGAACAACAACTGATATCAGATTGAACGAATCATCTGCAAGCCGTTTCTGGGGGTAACATGTTGGTCCAAATGCAATCTTCCAACTTCTGTACCTTGAGCCTTGACCCTGGCAAATTCAGGGTTAAAACACGTGGATTTCATGTTTAAGGGTCTGTCTGAAAATCCAATGCCCCTAAATTCACTGGTTTATCAGCAAAAATCATTTGGGGAGTATACTGTTTTTCAAGAGATCTATTTTTGTAGCCGACGGTTCGTTTCCGAAACTCTACCATGCCAGAATGTAATCTTCAACAAGATTTGGTCCGCAAAAATACCGGCATATTTGGATAAACCCATTTGAGCAGTGTCTGTCATTGCACTGTATTTTACTCGTAGGTTGATGGGGATTCTCATAACCCATGGTGCTGGAATATTTACCAACATTTACCCCTTAAATCACCCAAATGTAGGTTAATATACTATACATGGAGCATTTGCGTAATGTATGATGATAATCCTTAATAAACCAGGCAGAATCGCCAATAATAACCTATCAAACCAGGGTCTACTGGTCACTGCTAAGCTAACCATTTATATTGTATAATATATATATATATATATATATATGTATAATACATATATATATATAATATAATATATAGTATTATATATAATATTATAATATAATTATATATATATGGATTAAATGAAACCTTGGTACTTGGAGGGTCTGAGTCTGGAAATTCAGAACATTCGCACCATTTCGCACCTCGCGGGACGAAACCCTTTCCAAACCCTCCGCTCAGTTCAGATGGTCTGGGTCTGTCGCATGACCCACTGGCCGAGATTCCTGACAGGATCACCGGGTCCCCTTGAGAATAGAAGGGGAACATGACAAGTCTTGATGTTACCTGGAATAAATGGATGAATATATATATATATAATATATATATTATAAACTTTGGATAACTTGATGTTTTCATGTTTCAGTTATGTCAGGAGTTGTCGAATCTTGTGACCATTGCAGTGACCATGACGCAGTGACCATTGGAACAGCGGCGCTGTTCAACCTACCGTGACTGGGGTGACTAGGGAAACATACCACCCATAAAAATGGTGATTTTGGGGATGATGAATTACCCATAGGATCCATGTATGCTATATATGGTAACATAGATACCATCAATATACCCCGAATGTTAGCATATATACCATAAATGGATCCTATGGGTTATTGGGTTTACCACATCTGAAATAAACAGATACAGTATGTTCTCATTGGGTGATGATCTCGCGATATATTGCGCAGAGTTCTCAGATTGGTGGTGTGAGCCTGGTTATGTTCAGTATTCATGTCCCCAATAAATCAATGATATAATTTAAGCATAATATCAGTAACCGCGGCAAACTAACACCACTCATAATACTCATATGTAGGTTTTGTCCAAAAATGAGATATTCCTAAATCCATTGATTCAGCATCATCATTTTCATTACAACTTCCATTTGTTGGGGTATATCATATCATATGTTCAAACAAACTACCCTCTGGTAAACTAACATAACCATGGAAAATCACATGTTTTCATGGGAAAATTCACTATAAATGACATATGGGTATATTGACAAGTATAGTAAATATCCCCAGTAACTCCCATGACATATGGAGGTTTCCAATCCAGGTCTCCCAAATCATCCAAGTCATAAGACCATGACTGATTACTGAAACCCGTGGTAACTTGGGGATCACCCATTCTAGCAAACCACCGTATATCAATGGTTCATGGCTGTGTTCAATATATACATATATACAGGATGGGGCAGGATAGCTAAGTTGAGATATAAGTGGATTAACTATGGTTTATGGATATATTATGGTAGATATAACTATATAGTTAATGGGGTTTATAAACCAACAAGCATCGCTGGGGGGGCACCATCCTGTAACCCTTGACAAATTAAGGCTACAGTGATAATAAACCCATTTACAGAGGATATTGATAGTTATCAATGGCTAACACTGGTAAATCAAATCGTTGACTGTGGTTAATTTTAGCCCGCAGTAAATCCCATAACATCTCCCAACCACCATCTTCAAAAATCCAATCCATCGGACCATAACTGAGTACAGAAACCCAATAGTCACCATTGGGGACTCCCAACCCCCATAAAAATTGCACCGTGTCTCTAAATCCACGGCTGCCAGGTTCACCAGGTCGCGTTCGCTGCTGACGCTGGATCTGTCGGTGGTCTCGGCATTCAGCGACTCACCAGACTCGCCGTCTTCCTGTGACGTGTCATGCGGGGCCCTGGGGCCCTGGGGATTGGTGTTTACCCGTAACTCACTTGGTTGAAATGTAAGGATTTAAGCGAGTTCACCCACAAAAATCATGGTTTCTGTTTGGTTTATGGTGATTTATGATAGTTAAGTTGGTTGAAATATTGGAAGTAGATTAACTGATGGACTTATGGTAGACATATTATTAGATAGATTTATACAATTTTTAATGATCAGATGGGGGTGTAAGTTCACTTGGAAGAACTGGCGGCCTTCCTGCAAGTCATGGATGAGTTCAGGAAAAATTTACCACTGCAATTGTTTTTTGTTTTTGCGTTTTTTGGAAAAAAAACAAAAACAATGAAAAAAACAAAAACAGTGGACATGTGCACGTAAGTTTTCATGCAAATGTTCATCTGTCCGTTGGATTATTTGAGGAAAAAACATTCAAAACTCAACACCTGAAACCGATCAAATTGAAAGTACAAAGTGGTGCCCAAAATTGTCAGTTAATAGTTGGTTTACAAGTACATCAATTAATTAGCGGATCAAAGTATTTTAAAAAAAACTATTGTGCAGATTGATTGAATGGTTGATTCAAATTCAAATGATCCGCCAAGTCTTGTGACAAAATTCCAACGTGTTTTTATATGACCATTGTTTCTTTCAACAAAACACAATCAAACCATTTTTTTCCCACAAACAGGTGCAAAAAAAACTGTTACTGCTAATGATATCAATTCAAAACTTAGTGAATTTACGTAAATCACAAAAAATCGAAGGTTGCAGTAGACAGGTGAATGGTTTCCAGATGTTTCCAGGCATATTTTTTTTTGCCGCCCTGCCCCCCCCCCTAATTGTTTATTAGCAACACACGCGGGTCACCTTGCAAACTGCTCACAAGAAAAAAAAGGAGGTGTTGCTGTTCCAAGACTGGCCTGGTGCACATCCAAATGACAAAAAATATCATTCAATCCGTTGATTGGCGATGTTTCACGTCCAATTTTCGCTGCCCATTGCAAGCTCAATTCCAAAAAATTGAACCAGCCATCACAAAACCCTGGTTTGCTTGTTTGTTTGCGCTGCAGAATCCAAAGTCATACCCTGAGGATCACTTGTATGATACTACGTCTGTAACTGCCTCGTGCGAGGATTTGGTGCCTAACCACTGTAGTGTGGTTGAAACAATAATAAAGATTAATAAACCATCCCCTAAATCACCATAAATGGGTGGTATAAACATGTATAAACCATAAAAAACTGGGTGGTTTATTGTTTTACCACATTACGTAAATTTATCGGTGGCGTTGGCTCACATAGCCTACATACCAAGTTGCGTTGTCCGAGTCCCGACTACTGCTGCCTCAGACGAGGGATGGCATTTAAGGATATTGAAGGAGTGTCAAAAGTGCCCCATGGTTGGCAAAGTTGGATAAAGGTGGTTTACAAGGCTAGCTGGGGTTGATGGATGTTACAATGTTGAGAATCTTACCAGTAGTATCGCGCAAGGCGGTGGCGGAAGTTTCAAAAATAGGAAACCTATAGGAGAGATTGGTTGTTGTGAATCCGGGATGGCAGAGCGAATCCACTGATGGACCGAAAGGTGCTTGAGGTCTCCTCTCTCTCTCTCTCTCTCTCATCTAATTACCTATCTGTCTATCTATCTATCTATCTGTCTGTCTGTCTATCTGTCTATCTGTCTATCTGTCTATCTGTCTATCTGTCTGTGTGTCTGTGTGTCTGTGTGTCTGTGTGTCTGTCTATCTATCTATCTATCTATCTATCTATCTATCTATCTATCTATCTATCTATCTATCTATCTATCTATCTATCTCTCTTTCATCTGTCTATCTGTCTAGCTGTCTACCTGTCTATCTGTCTATCTATCTATCTATTTGTCTATCTGTCTACCTGTCTATCTGAAGTGCAGTGTCATTCAGTGTAGTGTAGTGTAGTGTAATGTAGTATAGTGTAGCGGAGTGTAGTGGAATGTAGTGTAGTGTAGTGTAATGTAGTGTAGCGTAGTGTAATTGAGTGTAGTGGAGTGTAGTGGAGTGTAGTTGTGTAGTCGTAGGTGTAGTTGTAGTGTAGTGACGTGTAGTGGAGTGTAGTTCTGTAGTTGTAGTTGTAGTGACGTGTAGTGTAGTGTAGTGTAATGTAGTGAAGTGTAGCGGAAGGTAGTGTAATGTAGTGTAAAGTAGTGTAGTGTAGTAGAGTATAGTGTAGTGTAATGTAGTGTTGTGTAGTGTAATTTAGTGTAGTGGAGTGTAGTTGTGTAGTTGTAGTTGTAGTGTAGTGGAGTGTAGTGTAGTGTAATGTAGTGTAGTTGAGTGTAGTGTAATGTAGCGTAGTGTAGTGTACTTTAGTGTAGTGGAGTATAGTGGAGTGTAGTTGTGTAGTTGTAGTTGTAGTTGCAGTGTGGTGGAGTGTAGTGTAGTGCAATGTAGTGAAGTGTAGTGGAAGGTAGTGCAGTGTAGTGTAGTGTAATGTAGTGTTGTGTAGTGTAATTTAGTGTAGTGGAGTGTAGTTGTGTAGTTGTAGTTGTAGTGTAGTGGAGTGTAGTGTAGTGTAATGTAGTGTAGTTGAGTGTAGTGTAATGTAGCGTAGTGTAGTGTACTTTAGTGTAGTGGAGTATAGTGTAGCGTAGTCGTGTAGTGTAATTGTAGTGTATTGTAGTGAAGCGAAGCGAAGCGACATCTGAACCTCCAAAAGTGGTCCGAACCCCTGGTGCTTTTAACATTTTGACTTCGAAATGTGCTTCGCGCCACAACGGCGTGCACTTTTTCGACATCTCAACTTCCAAAAGTGCTCCGACCATGGTGTGTTTTGTACATTTTGACTTCGAAATGTGCTTCGCGCCACAACGGCGTGCACTTTTTCGACATCTCAACTTCCAAAAGTGGTCCGTGAATGGTGTGTTTTGTACATTTTGACTTGGAAATGCGCTTCGCGCCACAGCGGCGTGCACTTTTTCGACATCTCAACTTCCAAAAGTGGTCCGAGAATGGTGTGTTTTGTACATTTTGACTTCGACATGTGCTTCGCGCCACAACGGCGTGCACTTTTTCGACATCGCAACTTCTAAAAGTGTTCCGAAGCTGCGGTGTTTTGCACATTTTGACTTGGAAATGTGCTTCGCGCCACAACGGCGTGCAATTTTTCATCTCTCATCTGGCCAGCTGGCTTTTGCACATTTTGACTTGGAAATGTGCTTCGCGCCACAACGGCGTGCAATTTTTCATCTCTCATCTGGCCAGCTGGCTCCGCACCCGCCGCTTTAGCGAGCCTACTTTTCGACCCTCCGGAGCCCCAAATCATTGCAAAAACACCGTGTTTCGCGACTTTCCTACCTTTTCTCGCATCTGCATCTTCTTTCTTCTTACTCTTCTTTCTTCTAATCTTTCTCTTCTCTCTGCCTCTTCCCTGCTCTGCCTTTCATCTGTCCATATTGTCGGAAGTTTGACTTCTAAACTTCCTTCGATCATTACTTATATTACTTCATCATTACTTTGCTTTATATAAACCAACCCATACAACAATTGCAGGTATTGAGTGGCACAACCGACACTCCAAAAAGCAGCTGCAAGGGAAATTTAATTACCTTGTAGGTAAAGAAGCAAGGTAAAGGGCAATCACCATGTTCAAAGAGGTAAATCACCTACAAATGCAATCAATATGTTGCGTATCTGTTTTGCTAAGAATAATGCTCCATTTTTGTGTTTTTCCTTGCCTCTGTCAACAGACGTCAACAGCATTCTCTCTTGTGAGCGGGAGCTCAGCTATCCTCCTCCATACGCTAGAGACAAATGCGCCATCAGTTTCAACTCCAGGCTACACTGCAAACCATGACCGATGGTTCTTCTGTGGTCACGCCTCCGTTATTGGCCCGAAAAAGGACTGAGGGGGATTTACCCAAGACACTCCCATTGAATCACAGTTGTTCTCGATCAAGTCAAATTGACATCCCCTTGAATCACCATGTTTGCTGGTTATGATTGGCATTGTCCCATTATATACTGCATATATATATATATATACAGTATATATATTTTCCATATGTTTCCATTATATGCTCAAAAATTCAATGAAATCCTACTAGCATCCCATTATAAATCCATTAAAACCCCAGCAAGATCCAATGAACTCACCACTTTAGCTGGTGAAATCCACTCAAATCCCATGAAAATGCACAGCTTCCATATGATTTCCGATGAATTCCACTAAAATCTGGTTGGTGGTTGCTGCTAACCCCTCTGAAAAATATGACTATGACTTCGTCATTTGGGATGATGACATTCCCAACTGAATGGAAAAATAATCCAAATGTTCCAAACTACCAAGCACTAAATCCATTGAAATCCACTAAAATCTCATGGATTTGCCATATAAATCTTCGAAATCCCAGCAAAATCCAGGCGACGCAGCTCGAAGATTGCCAGCGACGCCGAGGCAGTGCAAATCAGCAGAGCGCCCAGGATGCTCATTGGGCCCACCTGCAGCTATGGCCCAACTAACAATTGTAAATGTGATTATTGATGATATATAACCTTAGTTAAAGGACATATATATATATATATATTGATGATATATAACTTTAGTTAAAGGACATATCTTGATGATATACGATGATATATAACCTTACTTAAAGGACACACACACATATATATATATATATATTGATGATATATAACCTGAACCTTAGTTGAAGGACATATCTTGATGATATATATAACCCTAGTTAAAGGACTTATAATATATTATAATTCCATTTATAACTGTTGGTCGGGCTATTGTGGTAGGGATGAAAATCCATGGTTTCACAACCGGAAAAATGTGGAATTGTCCTTGGGAAAATGGTGATGTCACTGAGGAAAATGGTGGTTGAACTCGTGAAAATGATTGTTACCCTCCGGTAATTGTCACTGGGACCACCCCAATGATGAGTGTGTCTTGTACAGCTCCATGGCCAATCTTACAGTAGATCCGCTGGAAGCAAGATTGCTTAACTGATTGCCTGATGAGTCTAAGATCTAAACTGGTTGGTGGTTGACTGACAAATATGAAAGTCAGTTGGGATTATTATTCCCAACTGAATGGAAAAATAAAACATCATGTTCATGTTCCAAACACCAACCAGATGATTGTTATCTGAGGGGGAATTGTGATTTTGCTAGCGAAAATGGTCATTGAGCTGGGTACAATGATGGTTTTATCGGGAAACGGTGATTCAACTGTGAAGACATCGAATGTTACTTTGTGAATATTTGCTGCTGAGAAATCAGAGAATTTGGGGAGAATGACCACATTTGAAAATAGGTTACCCTCTGGTAATCATACAAAAAGCTATTGAAAATGACCCATGTATAGTTGATTTACCTATTCAAGATGGTGATTTTCCATAGTTATGTTAGTTTACCAGAGGGTACAAGATGTTACAAGGATGACATGGGATCAATGCTGAAGGTTATCAAAATTGAAGACTTAACCATGACTTAACCAGGATCAACAAGCTGTTGTTGACCATCAAAAGCTGTTGATGGTAAATCACCGTCGTAACATGGTGTAACAACAAAATTCCAACCAATAACTTGGGAAATGTTTTTTTCAACCAATCGAAAGGGGTATCATTCAGAATCTATGTAAGAGAAAATGTCGTGACTTTACATCAAAGTGGCGCCCACTTTAAGGCACAGGTCTATCTAAGCACCCGCAAAAAACAGGGGGGATCTTCGATGAAATCACGTCACAGGCGCCTTGGCAAGGAAAATGACTTGCAAAACAAAGGCCTCGCCAGGTCAACTCCAGGTGATGCCATGCTCTACCGAAGCAGCCCCTTCTCCATGAAACATATGAAACCCTTTAAGCCCATACCGGTAGCCTTTCTCTAAGTGTGTCTATGCTACTTTGCGCCCGGAACGAATCATTGGTCACAAGCAGCAATTTATGGATGGCTACGTAGCAGTCATGTCGTTTCCGAACCTGCTTTGGACATGAACAACTTCATGTCTCAGTTCAGTTGCCTCTTCCCGTTTGCATAAATCATCTGCCTTCAATGTTTACATGCGATTATGTATATAACATATTCTGGGTCAAATACCCTCAAATACCCTTTCACCAGTGCAGCAAGTGCTCAGAAGGCGGAGACACTTGCTCATGGGTCAATTACTCCTGGTGTACTGAGTGTTCATATTTCAAACAGAAACCAACTACCATTCTTAACTACCATTCTTAACTACCATTCTTAACTACCATTATAATAACCATCAATAACCATCATTTTATCAAATGGCCAAATAACCATGGGTCAAATAACCATTAATATCATTATTCACTTATACTTATGGGTCAACCATTAATGACCATTAAGAACTTTTTTTTCACCCAAGGGGCATCCACAGTCTCCATTTGGAGCAACAGAGTGCCCAGGGCCGAGGGGATGTAGCGCAGGCCGTAGGTGAAGAACTGCCTCGGGGGATTGACAATTAAAACCCATGCCTACAAGGTGGTGCCCCAGTTCGTGAACGCCAAGTTGGTGCAAATAAGTCCAAGAACTCGGGTTGATTAGGGGGTATATCTATAGATCTGGGTAAATTATAATATTTCACTAACCTGAATTAAGGCCCATTTTGGGATGATTTCCCTTGTTAACTATGATTCCAGGGTATATCTATAGATATACTGAATATTGGCGAACTGTGAACCCTGAGATTCTGTATGGAACACTCCGGCATCGTAAAAATGGTGATATTTTTCTAGAGGTGGCTGGGTGACACATGGATCCTGCAACCTGAAGTTGACCAGGTCCATTTTTTAACATCGCCATCACCATCCCACCAACATCATGGCCCTACCGTGAGTCAGGGCTTGGAAGACAATTCGTTCTCAAATTCGGTGCTTTGGATAGGCTTTGTATGTTAATTTGGGACATGGTATCACTTCTTTGTTAGGGTACCCATTCAGTAAACCAACATCGATGGAACATTCACCATTCAAAGGTCATGTCCAAAAACCTACATAAACCTGTAGCTTTCATGAAATTTCCATATCTTTATGTTTCCTTTACAGGGCCTTCCTCTCCTTTTTTGGGCTGGCACCCCTAAAATCGGCAGCCAAAGGGACTGGCCTAACACGGAGCACCCGGCCACTCCAGCCTCGGCGATCGTTTGGCGATCGTTTGGCGATCGTGGCGCCACGCCACCCTCTGATAGACTTTTACATAAGGAACTGGAAAATCACCATTGTTAATGGGAAAACTATGGAAAATCACAATTTTTAATGGGAAAACTATGGAAAATCACCATTGTTAATGGGAAAACTATGGAAAATCACAATTTTTAATGGGAAAACTATGGAAAGATCCACCATTTTTAATGGGAAAACTATGGAAAATCACAATTTTTAATGGGAAAACTATGGAAAGATCCACCATGTTTAATGGGAAAACTATGGAAAACCACAATTTTTAATGGGAAAACTATGGAAAGATCCACCATTTTATAGCTGGGTAAATCAACGACCTATGGCCATGGCTTCAATATCGGGGTCTCATGGGGTTTTTCATGGGATCTGAACACCAAAATCTGAACATGCCATCTCCAATAATTCCATTACTGGGCCGAAGGTCATGAAAGATTCAAAAAAAAACGAGGCTTCTTTTAGGAGTATGTAACATTAGGGGGATGTGGTTGGAAAAGTAGACAGAAACATGAGGCAAACTTCACCTGTGAAGATTTGCCGGAAAGAACCACGGATTTGCATACAAGCAATGCACAAACAGTGTTGTGGCTGCAACCCATGTACACCATCCAAATAAAACATGTATCATGCAGGTTGGATAGTCATAAAAAAGTGAGGTTCAAAGCAAATCCATGTTTCAAAGAACCAGGCAAATACAGCAACTACAGAGGCACATACGACCGCTCTGGGCAGATCAGACGTAATCTGTCCAGAAACAAGGAACATGGATATCTATTACATAATTCAAACCAACAAAAAAAACATGGTCATTGACATAGAATTTTGGATGCTTCCCATAAATTCATATGGGGATGGGTCAAAACCCTGGTACCTAGTGAACCCCAAAATAGCTGGTAAATGGATGTTCATCCCACTAAAAATGTATCTATAGGTATTGACCCATACCCATATAAATTCACCATGATTTTCATGTTTCGGGCTACTCAAGTGCCTCAAAAAACACCGATCTGCGTCGCTGCGCCAAGGAACGAGGCTTGCCAGATGCGTCCAGCCGATGTCAGCAGCTCGGTGGGTGAAAGAGGTGCCCTGGGCCACTGGGTTCACGGGGACCAGCGAGCTGCGGCTCGTTATAGCTTCATCACTACAGTTATGGCCGTTGATGGGTTATAACTGGTGATTTCTATGGGGTTATACACTCTATACACTCCAGAAAAATGTGTGTTTTAGTATGTACTCAAAAAACTTATAACTGGTATTTTGAGCCATAACTGTACAAACATCAACAACATCGAAAAAAAATCATTAGTATCCTTTAGTGTCATTGAAACATGTGTTTTTGTTAAAGACCACCTGGACGGAGAGTTTTGATCACCTGGTCTTTAGGGAATGCATTTGCATGTCACGCCAGGTAAACAATGGCAGAATTGAACCTCTGTTTTGCTTCTTTGTTTGGTCCACCGTGCAAATGGTTTTCCATCATCGAACCCGAATCTATCGCGATCTTAGTCATGGGTGTACTCGCCCGTGTGGGTGAGCATAGAAAAGTTTTTTTTTGTAGATCCACATGTGATGGTGGTGGTGATTGTTATTATGATTATTATGATTATTATGATTATTATGTTTATTGTGATTGTTATGATTATTATGGTTATTATGATTATTATGACTATTATGATTATTATGATTATTACGATTATTATGATTATGATTATTATGCGTATGATTATTATTGTTGTTGTTGTTATTACTATATTTATCACGTTGTTGATGGTAGTAATGAACCATGCTAACAATAATGCTGTTGACAATGTTTTTTGATGATGTTGCTGTTGATGGTGATGTAACATGTTAGGGGCACCTTATCATAAACCGAGAGCCAGTTTGGGGAAATATCTTTCAGCTCCAAGAGTCCCACAGCAGCGGCGTGGCGGCACCCAGCAGCAGCAAATCCATAAAACCTGGTTTTACGGCCGGAAACGGCGGAAACCGATGCGCCAAAAGTGGACCTAACATGGATCTAAACGATCTTATAGATATTACAAACAGGTCCATTTTATGATGAAACATATAGATATAAGTGGTACCTAAGATCTTGATCAAACATATAGATATTACTTACATATAGATATGATCTATTTGAAAAGGACATGCCTAGAAAAATGGCAGGACTTGTGCAGCATGGAACATGAATATAATGATTGATTGTTCTGATGACAGTCATGTTGATGATAAAGAACCACATGAGACCAATAGGACCCAGTTGAAATATGTTAAACTTGACTTTGATCATTCCAAAAGGTGATGTGGTTAGTGGTTTCAACCCATCTCATTTGAAGTCGATTAAATCTTATGCCAGGTATGATGTAGATCCGTCCCAGGATGGAACATAAAACTATATAAGAAGCATGAAACCACCAATCAGTGATAAACAAGTAAGAATCACAGTTATACCCTTAACAGTTACACATGGGACTATTATATATATAGCCTTAGTTACAGTTATAGGAGTTTTGTCATCCCATGTTATAACTGTTACCCTCTGGTTATGTCAAAATAGCTGTTGAAAATGGCCCTAGAAATAGTTGATTTTCCAAATTTTCCCATTAAAAATTGTGATTTTCCATAGTTATGTTAGTTTACCAAAGGGTATATAGTTGGGCCATAACTGCATAGAAGTGAACCACAAGAAAATACCTCCATCCCGTCCCAATAAACCAGGCTCAAGTACAGTAACCAAGTACCGTGATGTCCCGTGACACCCAGAAAGATGAAAAAAGTAGATTTTTACTAAACTAATGACACACGAAGATAAGCAAGTACTTGGGTTTGAGAATCCAGTTACTACTTGCCAAAAGAATGCTGGGACAGGGGTACTGGATACTACTACAATCCAATACCCCTTTGTAATTCCCTACTCAAATCCGAAATGCCAACAAATCTCGTCATGGCGAGGAGCAAAAGTACCACACCGGCACTTCAGGTCTCAAGGCCGTTCCAGCCATGACCTTCCTTGGCAAAATGGCCAGATCTTAAGAACTCAGGGTTTACCATGGCAGAATGGTGAGAAACAACCGGGAAGTCAACAGGGAAAATGGTGATTTACCCTCTGGTAAACTAACATAACTATGGAAAATCACCATTTTTAATAGGAAAATCAACTATTTCTAGGGCCATGTTCAATAGCTATTTTGACATAACCAGAGGGTAACGAGGGAATAGAGCGATCTAATAGGCCCTATGGATCCAGTTGCACCCTTGTGAGGCTGTGGGGTGAAAGTCCAGAGGCCTCCAGACCTTCTCAGAAAAGATTTGGGTTTATGGGGAATGAATGGATCATATATATATATATGATAATACAATGAATATGATAAATAGATAAATATATAAATAGAAACATAAATAAACAAATAGATAGATATATATATATATATACATATTCTCTATATATTTCCCCACCTGCCAGGTGAGGGTTGTTAGATTTTATGTCAGTTGCCTCCTCCTGCCTGCCTCGTCCTCCTCCTCCTCCTCTCCTCCTCGTCCTCCTCGTCCTCCTTGTCATCCTTGTCGTCCTTGTCGTCCTCGTCGTCCTCGTCGTCCTCGTCGTCCTCGTCGTCCTCGTCCAACTGCGACCCGCGATCCACAGTGTTCTCTGCCGGACCTCACCCACGACCATCCACGCCCAGTGTTCCCTGCCGGACCTCAACCACGACCAGCCACGCCCAGTGTTCCCTGCCGGACCTCAACCACGACCAGCCACGCCCAGTGTTCCCTGCCGGACCTCATCTGCGAGTATCCATGCCAAGTGTTCCCTGCCGGACCTCAACCGCGGGTATCCATGCCAATGTTCCCTGCCGGACCTCATGTAGGAAGATATGGGACAAAGAAGTGCCAGATAGAAGAATAGAATGCCAGAAGATATGTCAGATAGAATGCCAGAAGATATGCCAGATAGAATGCCAGAAGATTTGCCAGATAGAATGCCAGAGATATGTCAGAATATATGCCAGAACATATGCCAGATAGAATGCCAGATAGAATGCCAGAAGATATGTCAGAATATATGCCAGAAGATATGCCAGATAGAATGCCAGATAATATGCCAGAAGATATGCCAGATAGAATGCCAGATAGAATGCCAGATAGATATGCCAGATAGAATGCCAGATTGAATGCCAGAAGATATGTCAGATAGAGTGCCAGAAGATATGCCAGATAGAATGGCAGAAGATTTGCCAGATAGAATGCCAGAAGATATGCCAGATAGAATGCCAAATAGAATGTCAGAAGATATGTCAGATAGAATGCCAGAAGATTTGCCAGTAAGAAAATGTATAAATGTCATGGTGGGGATCACACGAAGTAAAGTAATTGTTATATATATATACATATGATATGGGCCTGCCTGAAAGTGTGGTACACCCTATAACTTGCGGTTTGAAGTGCGGGTTTCGGCTCCATAGTCCGCGCCTGGTGGTAATCATAGTGCCGGCAGCAAAGAGCGCAGCCAGCAGCAGCAGAATCACCGCCACCACGGGGTCCAAATAGAGCTCCTGAGGCCAGTGTTTTCCCGTAGAAAGGTGGGGACTACAGTACCACCGAAAAAGTGGGGATTTATAGGTGGTAAACCAAAAAAACATATGGGCGGCTGATGATTTGCTCAACTTTGGAGTTGATATCAATTTGATTTCTGAGTTATGATGATCGCGAAATTGGTTAAGCTATGTGGGGTTTTAACTGCTGTCCCAAAACGATGTTTGATGTTTTCTTGATCCCCTGTGAGCAGCTGAACGTCTAGTGTGATAAGTTGTGGTGAATCCATCTAAGACCCGAAATCCCCAAAATCTAAGTGTAGCCACGCATAATCCATCTGATACGACAGCTGTAGTCGACAGGAACAAATAATTACGATCTGGCATGTGTCCTCCAGTCAATGGACATAATCACATACAAATTATACAGGGTGGTGCCCCATAGTTAGCGAAGTTGGTTTGTAACTCCAATAACTATGCTTTATGGTAGATATAACTATAGTTAATGGGGTTTACAAACCAACTTATAACTATGGGGCACCACCTTGTATTGAAACATATTAAAACCCTGAAAAGCCAACAAAGAATTGCGGTACGGAACTCACTATTGGGAAAATCATCTAATATACATAGGCCATTTTCCATGGCTACTAGTACGTTAAATAACCAGAGGGTAAATTGAAACATATTAAAACCCTGAAAAGCCAACAAAGAATTGCGGTATGGAACTCACTAAGTAACTACTCAAACGGCAGCTCAGCTGATGTCATCTAAGTTGCCGGTTATAGTTGGGACCCAAACCTAAATTTCAATATACCATCTGGTTACGACTAACATAGCCATGGAAAATCACAATTTTTAATAGGTAAGCTTCTATAAATGGGCCATTTCCCATGGCTATGTTAAATCACCAGAGGGTAGTCACGGACCATCACTTAGAACGTGGGCCAGAAATAACGTTCTAAATGACTCACTTAGGTTGTCTGTCGCTATAAGTTTCAGGAACCGCTCTCAGTTTTGTGATGTTTTGTGTATATACGTGGCTGTCATTTCAAGTGATATTTCCCCGTCCGAGGAGTGCTTGGACTTGGCATCGTGATGCTCTTCTTTGGCCACCAGGATACAACCCAGCAACGAAAGGCCTGACGAAAGGCAGTTTTTCCCTGTGACCTAAAAGTGACCTCTCTACAGGATGGTGGCCTCAAGCATCCCAAATGGTTGGGTTTTTAGCATCTACCCAGCCTGGTAAACTAACAGTTTGCGACATAGAAAATGGCCATAGAAATAGTGGATTTACCCAGCTATACAATGGTGATTTTCCATAGTTATGTAAACGTTTACCAGAGGGTCAAACAAGATTCAAACTAGAAAAATGATGAAAACTGAAGATAGAACGAATAAGCGGCATAAGCCCTTGATCAGGGAGTTCAGTGCTAGCAACCACGGTTTTTTTGGGCGAATCTTAACATCATTTTCTTTTGGGAGGGTGTCGCGTTTTTGTTCCTGGATTCAGGCCCCAATCATCCAAGAAAAATAATACGGTGGTGTCCCAGTTCCCTAAATTGCTTGAAAACCGTTTTCAGTGTTGGGTTTATGGTAGACATATCGAACTAGCTGACTGTTTTTTGAAAATACACTATTTGTTAGCTTATAGCTGGGGCGAACCACCTCGTGTTGATGTTGATGCCGTACTTGCCTGCAAATGAATCTCCATGTGGCTTCTGACAGCGGCTTAAACCTATCCAAACAATCCTTTGAACTGTCAACAAAAACAGGTCATCACCAAATCAGAACAAATCCATCCAACAAAAAAAAGGTCAGTAGTCCCTCCTACCCAACATTACCCAACACCAATACAAACTGCCTACCCAGCACACATCCCAAAACCCAAGCGCCTGTTGCCAGTGCATGCATCCAGGTTAATCGCTCTCCCAATATGCCTCACGTTAGCTATAGATATGCCTGCAGTTATATCAATGCCATTGGGGCTTGTGTGGAAATGTACCGGGGATATGAAAGCAACAATATGATACCTTGGCAAATGAATGTTTCCAAACAAAGCGTGGGGGAATCCTCAACTTCCAGGAGATAAAACATGCTTAAACAAAGTCAAATGACTTGGATGATGTGGAGGCACCCACATGTTAGGAAACATCTGAATGTGAACTGAGTAAAACCCTGAGATCAAGGGGACTGGGAAAATGGTTTTCTTGATGTATGGCTGGTCGGCTGTCACATGGGCTGACTCCGCTGCTGGCATGTACAGCCTGCACATCGAAAATTATATCTTGATACCTGTAACAGTGGGTCCTCGGTTGGATGCCTTTCCTGTTGGACATGGGCGAAGAGCGGGACTTTCCATGCATATAGAGTGACCATCCATCTCGATGCACCGTGTATATATTTATATAAATACATATTGTGTATATATAACAAACATTGTACTGGCACACATAAATACAGTGTTGCACAAACATACAATCAAACCATACATTATTTACGAATACATATGCCTAATCATCAATAATATTAGTATAAATACTAGAAATGTAACCATATCATATCTCTCTCCATCGCCATCCCAAAGGTCCAGCTAAGCTGAAGGCTTAGCATGTATACTGTATATATTATATCAAACAAAACTAAACTATACACATCTCTATAGCGCCCAGTGGCATGCGCCCAACAGTGCGGCACAGATGGGTTTGACGCTGTAGATGGAGATGCTGTCCTGACTGCCGGCACAGAGTTTGCCGGTACAAGCTACCTTCAAACGTGTTAAAACATAGCAATGAAAAACATCCTCGAAAAATGGGTTGCAAATGGGAAAACATGGGAACATCTGGGAAAATTGTCTGGTAACATATAGAGACATGGAACATCTCCAGTCAATTTATGGTTTCAGTGGGACAATCATCTAGAGATGGGGAACCGCCAAACAAAAAATAAGAAACCCTCCATAAATCATGGTGTTTTGATTAGAAAAATCATCTATACATACATGGGTGATCACCAAAAAAAACTTATTTGTGCTGCTGAAAGCTGTAGCAAAAACTTTTCGGAGTATGCCAGGTTACACCCCTACTGTACCGGCCCCACAGTTGCTAAATGAACTGCTGGTAGCCCAAGGCGATGCCCGGTGGGAAGAATGGAAAGTGTATACGACTAATGTGGGTACTAAAAAAAGTACCCTGTAGTTGCTCACGGGTGAATGAATGTGATTTACCCTCTAGTAATTTAACAGAGCTATGTATTGTTTTTTTTTTCAATGCTACAGATGGAACATTATAGATGATGAACTTGGTGATTTCCCTATTAAATCTGCTGAAATTCCAGTTTGCTACCTCAAATAACCAGAGGGTAACAGCATGTTCTTCGACAGGATGCGACATATCCCTCCATTGTTCAATGGACAGAAATGAAGAAACATAACTCATCATCAGACCATGTAATATATAAATCAACCATTCACCTCTTAGACCATGAAGATTTCAAGACTCATATACTCATCATCATGCCATAAAAATCAACCATTCAGACCATTCGCCTGTTATTTCTGTTGACGAAGATTTCAAAATGCGAAGGACCGTCCCAGACACCGAGAGGGGCAAAGCAATGATGCCCATGAAGTAGCCAACCACCGCGAGGCACCCCAAGATCCTCTTGGCGACATCGATCTCCATTTTTTTCGGCAAAACAGAGGGTGAATTTTCCGAAAATGGACCAACTATGATCTGGTTGGTGGTTGACCTACCCCTCTGAAGAATATACATTCGTCAGTTGGGATGATGACATTCCCAACTGAATGGAAAGTCATAAAATTCATTTTCCAAACCACCAACCAAATGATAAAGAAAAAAACACACAGGCTCTATAGAAAAATACTTGGTTGTGTTAATCTTGGTTGTGTTAATCTTAGCTATAATCTGTCCATATCTATCGCTGGTGGCTGGAAAACTCCATTCGTAGCTCACCATCGCTCAGTGAGCTGCGCGCTCCGGAAAAAAATCTCCCGGCGACCCAGACCCAGGGGTATAGCAATCCCCAAAAAAGATAAACATCATTGATATGATACTATATATATATATATTAATGGTTATTTAATGCTTATATAGTGGCTGTGTAATGGCCTTGTAATGGCCTTATAATGGCCTTATAATGGCTATTTGATGACTATGTACATTTTTTTGTGGGTTACGATCTCTCAGTCAGCATGTTTTGCTTAGCTCTGTTATGCTCTGTTTCAATAGGATCTGACGGGATCTAATGGGATTTACTGTAAATATCTGAAATAACCCAGTTATCCTATCAATTGGTTATATCATAACCATATATATTACAGTATATCTACGTGTTTTTTACATAAATACTTTTTATAAACCTAAATATCATGTGTTTATTTATATCTATCTATATATATATATATAATGTTGACCTATGATTTATAAATGCCCCTTGAATAAAGCTATTTTTTTCCCAAAATAAATAATAAATGCCCCCTAAATAAAGCTAAATTTTTTTGGCCCTAAAAAAATTGCCCAGATGGGGCTGAATTTTTTTTTCCGTGCTTTATTTGAGGTGGCTTTCATGTACTAATTCATATTGCCAGCTCATTAGATCTTACCTTGATAACTTCAAATTTTCAAAAATAATGGTTGCTGTTTTCTATTCAAAACCTTTATTCAAAATTATCCAAAATCAATCCCAAATCAACTCGTCAAGGGTACCCCCCATGAGGTGCCTTGGCACTAATTAGAGTTTGACCCTGAATAAAGCTAATTGTTTTTGGCCCTAAACCCAGATTTGCCCAGATGGGGCTGATTTTGTTTTTTCCATGCTTTATTTGAGGTGGCTTTCATGTACTAATTCATATTGCCAGCTCATTAGATCTTACCTTGATAACTTCAAATTTTCAAAAATAATGGTTGCTCTTTTCTATTCAAAACCTTTATTCAAAATTATCCAAAATCAATCCCAAATCAACTCGTCAAGGGTACCCCCCATGAGGTGCCTTGGCACTAATTAGAGTTTGACCCTGAATAAAGCTAATTGTTTTTGGCCCTAAACCCAGATTTGCCCAGATCCATGACATGAATACTGAATCAATACTAAATCCATGACATGAATACGAGATCAATACTAAATCCATGACATGAGTACTAGATCAATACTAAATCCATAACATGAATACTAAATCAATACTAAATTCATGATATGAATACTAGATCAATACTGAATCCATGACATGAATACTAAATCAATACTAAATCCATGACATGAATACGAGATCAATACTAAATCCATGACATGAATACTAAATCAATACCAATACTAAATTCATGATATGAATACTAGATCAATACTGAATCCATGACATGAATACTAAATCCATGACATGAATACGAGATCAATACTAAATCCATGACATGAATACTAAATCAATACTAAATTCATGATATGAATACTAGATCAATACTGAATCCATGACATGAATACGAGATCAATACTAAATCCATGACATGAATACTGAATCAATACTAAATTCATGACATGAATACTAAATCAATACTGAATCCATGACATGAATACTAAATCAATACTAAATTCATGACATGAATACTAAATCAATACTAAATCCATGACATGAGTACTAGATCAATACTAAAACAATTGCTGGATTCCTTTTTTTTTTCGAAATTGCATTTTATGTATTCGTTTTCAATTGTGGTAATTTAAAACCTTTACATACAAACAAGTTTTATGGTGGCCTTAAGTCTATTTAGGGTCAGAGAGGGGGGGGGGCCCCCTATTTATAAATCAAGGGCAGACATTATATATATAATACTATTATATACTGCTGGGATATCCAGCAAAAATCCGTCAAAAAAAAACCAGCTTCGAAAAATCTGCCACGGAACCCTCTGAGGCAGAGCCAGAGTCGCAGGCCACGTGGACCCCAAGGCGATTCGCAACCTGACGCGACGGTCTCCAGGGCTGAGCTTAGCGAAGAGGAGGTTTCCTTTAAAAAAATGGCCCAACTAACCAGTTATAAATGGGATTATTTCATGGATTTATATGTGTATATATATAATTCCATTTATATCTGTTAGTTGGGCCATAACTCTATGGGGATACCCCATATCATCCAGAATTCGACCATTTTTTGTCTTTTTTGGATTCCGGGAGTCCCTATGTGCAGAAACCCCAAGTGAAATGACCAACAAAAAAAAGGCTAACCTTGATTCAATGGCCATTTCAGGAACCTAAATTGGAGGTACCTACCATATATAAGGCCTATATAAGGCCTCTGTAGGGAATATCCCCACAAAATATGGCCTTATATGGTACAGTACCTCCATTTTAGGATCCTGAAATTCCCATTGATTGATGAACCTTGGAGTTGTTGGATCATTAGATTTGAGGCATTCATGGAAACAAGATGCAAAGGAATTTCACCCATGATACACCGAAAATTGGTAAATTAAACGCGAGCAACTGGATAAGTTCCCCGAACTGGGATTATAAATTTTGTCTTGGGAAGTTGCTGCGGATGGCTCTTTACGTTTAGGTTTCCCACATCTAGTGGGATGGCAGTACGACCAATGCAAGTAAATCCTCCCATGTACAGCATAATCCACCTACAGTACATCTCCTGCTGAATATGACCATCACAATATATATATATAATATAGTGGGAAATATATCATACATAGAGCATGCGTGCAATGTATTACCGGCGGCCACTGCAAAACCACCTCACCAGCGACCCAGCATGTTTATCATTGTTTATCCATAGATGTGAGGTCTTTTCTGGCCTTAGATACCCCTTACCCTCTGGTAATTGGACATAACTATTGAACATTGCCATTTATATCCATTTAGTTCGTTGATTTACCTATCAAAAATATTCAGAAATGGTGATTCTTCCGTTCGCCATGTCCTACCAGAGGCTAAATCACCTTAAGGTAACCACCTGGTGCGCCAGATCTGGCCCAGCTACGGATCAGGAAGAAAAGGCCCAAGCCAGTCGTCTGCAAAATCGCTCTGCCCCAAAGGAGATCTAAGGTGCTCCTTGGGATGGGACCCTGGGAAGGGTTTGGCAGGTGCAACATTCTGCAACCGTCAAATGTTGCGTGGATCACGTGGATCCGGTGATTTTTCCTCACCTTTTTGCGGATCTCATGTGTTCAAGCCACGCTCTCTTTGTGCCGAGATCTATTTTTACATTGACTACCCTCTGGTAAACTAACGTATATAGCTATCGAACATCTCCATTCTTGATAGGTAAATCAACTATTTCTATGGCAATTTTCAAGAGCTAAATTACCAGAGGGTATCCGTTTTCTTTATCTACATTCTCAAGCTCCAAGCTCCTCCTATCCCGGTCTCCCTCGCCAAGCCGGCCAAGCCGCAGGGCGGTAGCACAAACCTTCACAAGGAGCGCAGCGACCGCCAAGCTGAAGGCACCCAACAAGGTGGCAATGATCCCTGGGAGCAATGGATGACCCCGTGGCTGGGATGCTTCGGTGGGCTCCATGGGAAAAATCCCCATATGCTTGATGATTGTTCAATACATATATATATATATATAGACAGAATAGGATAGGATAGGATAGGATAAGATAGGTAGGTAATAGGATAGATCGATCGATCGATTATGATCGATTGATTGATTGATTGATTGATTGGTTGATTGATAGTTAGATAGATAGATAGATAGATAGACAAATGCGTGTGGCATTTCCATTCACCGGCAATTTTATCCTTGGTAACACCGAAAGATGTGGTTTATCCACCATATCGCCAACGGCGACTGATGCAAAGTAAAATTCTTGGACTGACTTGGGGCATTTCATCCGCATTTTCTTGGCTATGAACCCTATATCCAATCAATGGCCATTTCAGGAACCTAAATTGGAGGTACCTACCATATATAAGGCCTATTTTTTAGGCCTCTGTAAAGGAATATCCCCACAAAATATGGCCTTAAATATGGTACTAACGTACCTCCATCTGTTGGATCCTGAAGATCTCCCATTGCTCCACGGGGAAAGGCTGGGACCTGATGGTGGGTCTGTTCCAGTCGGGATCCCACACATCAATCGGCTTCAAAGTGTCCTTGCTCTTGGAAATAAATGATTCTTCATTATGTAGCTATAACTGGTCCACAATGTTTTAATGAATCTTTATGGTCCGGAATTTCTCAATGAATCTTCATTACTATGTGTATATATATATATATACATTTATATACATACAATGTGGTGCCCCACAGGTATAATTTGGTTTAGATTCGCCCCAGTAACTAGTTCGTTATATCTACCATAAACCATAGTTATTGGAGTTATGTGAACCCCAACTTAGCAAACTATGGGGCACCACCTTGTATCTATATATATATATGTATTCTGGTTGGTGGTTTCAACCCCTCTGAAAAAATATTAGCCAGTTGGGATGATTATCCCCAATATATGGGAAAATAAAACATGTTCCAAACCACCATCCATATATCCATATATGTTATTATTCACTGTCTATGCCCCAAGGGAAAGGTAGGTCGGAGTGGTCGGACCTCGTGACCGGGGACCGGGCCTCGTGCTCGAGTGCTGAAGCAGCGGCACTTGCGATCCTCCAAGGCTCCAAGGCTCCAAGGTCGGGGCTGGTGGGGAAGGTTTTCTGTTCATGTTCAATTGAAACAACAAAAAAACATGATGCTCACGATGCTTTTTGTTGATGTTTGTTGATGCTTTCTGGTGCTTGTTGAATCTTGTTTATGTCTTTTTTTGACACTTTTGATCGGAACAAATCCTGCAAGGGCAACTCTGTCTTCAAGAGAAACATCATTTTCGGTTACCCGTGGATTTGGCCATGAAAATTGTGTGAGAGTGACAGGAGGTTGCCTCATTGGTAAGAAAGATTGCAGGGTGAACCCAATGGGTTCACACAGTCATTTCCAGACCCTCCAGTAAATTAACATAGACCCTGGCAGTCATCGGGGTTGGAAGACTAGTTTCCATTAAAAATTGGTGATTTTCAGGGTCTATGTTTATTTACCAGAGGGTATGTTTTCCTGAAACCAAGAAGCGTGGCAGTTTTGTGGCACAGCGAATACCATGGTGCTGGAAATTCCCAGCCTGCAGGGAGGCCTCCTCCACTGTCATGGCAAGGTGGCCAGAAATTTTGAAGCACCAATCAACAGGGCTGAGATTTACTGATTGTGGCAACCCCTCAAAAAGAATAGGACAGGTCTAAGTTCAACTGTTCCAAAAAACGCTATATCTTTTGTTAAAGGGTTCCTTTTGACTGCGATGATATGATCATTGTTGGGAGATGACTATAAGACTATAAGGCAATCCAATGATCCATGGATAACGACATAAACACACATGTCCAGAACCTTGCTGCTTCAATGAACAGGAGTTCTGAATAGTGTCATGCATCTGTGTCTAAGAGGCCATTTTTTGACTCAATGCACCTTTTGTTTCTTGAAGATAACTGGTCTTACGGTAACTGTAAGGAGCTGGGCAGGACGTTCGGTCATATTCCATCAAATGCTGATGGTTTCAACCGGCACATGTATAGTATACAGTACGCACATAAAAATATGTATGTATATAGTAAATATATATAATCTGTTATATGCATATATAATGTTACACATATATATAATTATATGTATGATTGTGTAAAATTATGTATGTACATATTGTCATGTGGGATGATCATTTGTTTCCAAGTGCCTTTCATTCATAGCTTCCCACGAGAACACTGCTATAGATCATCCAAGGTGGTAAGATCAACATTCCTGTAGTAGCCTCTAGTCTGATGGTTTCCTGTATCGCAGAAGGTCGGGGTGGTCATACCCTGTTGAAGTTTGTACACCACGTACACCTTGTAAACCTCACACGGCTACCCTTGCCAAAGCTTTTATACCACTCAACAGGTAACAAATCAACTAATCCAGGAATAACCAAAGATACTCCAACCACATGGCTAAACATGAAATCAAAAGAAACCAGTCCTTTGCCCTTGCGGCGCATCCCGGTCATAGTCCCATCCGCCCTAACATTAACCACCCCCATTCAAAGGTCCTAACATGTGATGACTGGGGGATGGTTTATGATTGTTTTACCCATGACACCTTGGATTTGATTATATAAGGCACCCCCCAAAGGATAAGGCATCCTCCCTTAATTGATTCCCTTAACACACACCCAGGTTATCAGATTCAATCCCAGCGATACTGATGATTAGTTAATTCTCTACAGGATGGCCCCCCCAGTGATGTTTGTTGGTTTATAAACCATTATATACCCCATTAACTAGTTCGTTATATCTACCATAAACCATAGATGTTTCAGCCACTTATAAGGCAACTGAACGCTATCTTGGGGGCCTCATCCTGTAGAAATATACGGGATATTGCCATGTGGGAATATATTGGGATAATGATGATAGGCAATATATTGGGTAATATACTGATGATAATGGGAAATATATGAAAATCTCCATAAATATTCAATCACCATTATCATATGGATCTTTATTAAATCATTTTAAATCATATGGATCACCGGAATTCCCTAACCCATAGGATCCATGGTGCTGGTATATATGCTAACATGACTGGGGTATATTGATGGTAAATGTTACCATATATAGCATACATGGATCCTATGGGTAAGATTAAATTACGTTATCAAATGAAAATGGCCATTTATAGTGAGTTGTCCCATGAAAAATTGTGATTTTCCATAGTTATGTTAGTTTACCAGAGGGTAAATCCCATTCATATCCCATTCATCACTATAAAATTCCATCAAAAATCCCATTAAAAATCCCATCAAATGAAATCACAGCTGTTGTTTTCGTCGTCGCTTTCACTCTGGCCGCTCCGACAGAGCAAATTCGTCCCGTTGAAAAGGGCGCGTGTCCTGGGCAAAACATACAGAAGGTGGTGATGGCCCAACTAACGGCAATGGGATTATAATGATATTATATATATATATATATTATATATATATTATATATATATATATATATTATATATATATATATATAATCCTTAGTGATAGGAGTTATTTCATCCCGTTGATCTTAGTTATAATCCCTATACTAACTGATTATAAATGTGATTATATATAATGATTTACAAACTGAGTTATAGGAGATATTTCATCCCATTTATTTATACCTGTTCGTTGGGCGCTGTGGAAACGGTGCCAATGATGCGCCTTTTTTGGAAATTTCTCTCTGGATTGGAGGAAAAATTGCGTCCACCATGGATGTTCCCATAAAATATGGGAGCTTTCCGGTGAAAATTGTCCCTTATACCAATCCATTGCATGGGTTGTTTTTGAATCTCTTGGTTCACAAATAAAACCCAAGGATGTGCGGCCCCACCTAATAAGTGGATAATAAGCCGTAACAATCCGGTATTGTGCAAACACATTAACATAATATATATATATAGTTTACATACACACACACACAATCAATATATACAATCGTTGAATATGTATATATATATATAGATACGGGACCACCCACTTACCCTCTGGTAATTTAACATAGCTATTGAAAATTGCCATTTATAGTGAGTTTTCCCATTAAAAATGGTGATTTTCCATAGCTATGTTAGTTTACGTACCCCAAAAACAGTCGACCACACCACACTTTCAAAAAATGGCAAGTTCATGGCCCCAAGTCCCAAGGCGCTGAAGACCGGAACCAGCCGCTGTTGCTGGGCTGGTTGAAGGTCTTGGCTATAGATGGGCTGATGCAACAAGCATGGTGGAAACCACCGTGAAAATCAGGAAAAAAAACAGTAATGACTCACAGTTTGCTATGGAAAATCAACATTTTGAAGTTTGAATAGGTAAACGTCATCTATAGATGGGCCATTTTTGATAGCTATGTCCAATTATTATCTACCAATGGGTATATGGTATATGGTATACTGGAGAGTTACATGGAATGCTTTCATGATTCTTCAATCATCCATAGCGATCATTCCTAGTGGGTTCTGAGCACTGACACTATCCTAGTGGGATCTGAGCACTGATTGGAGACATTCATGAGCACGAAGACTTACGCATGCAGCAAATAAAAGTTTCTTTCAAAGTTGACTAAACCACATATTGCCGGGGTCCAACAAAGAAAGTGGACTTAGAGTACACTCAACACAGGCCAGAAAGAAATAGAGCATATTATCATATATTACCCTCTGGTTATTTAACATAGCCATGGGAAATGGCCCATTTATAGATGGTTTACCTATTAAAAATGGTGATTTTCCATATGGCGATGTTAAATAACCAGATGGTATCAACAAATGTTGAGATGTCCAAGTGAATCAAACAGGATACTCTTCCAGTAATGTAGTAAATCCAATGTGCTAGGCTCCCAGGGAACAATTCATTGTCACAACGTGGCCACTGCAAAGATGTACCGACTATAAGCATCTACAAAGCCTATTACATGTTATGAACATTTATTTATAGGATGTGGTGGAGGTAGATATATAACTTGAGTTAT